TGTACTTTATGTAAAATCTCAATTAAATATTCAATAAAGATAGAGGCATGGCCTTACCATTAACATTAAAAAAAAAATTAAAGATCAATTAACAAATCTCTGTAAAATATAATCTAAAAACAGCTATTATTATAATTTCAAATTCTAATTAATATTTAAAAATTCAATTAAAACAAGCTTAAAAGTAAAATCAAATTTTTGTAATGCCATAATAGACTTGAAACTAGCTACTACTATAATTTCACTATTTGAATAATACTAAAAGAAAAGACTTAGATTATATAAAATTAATTATAATCTAATTCTAATAATATTTGTTTATTATTCTTTAATTTTTTTTAAAAAAAAGTTGTAATTTATGTATTGTTAGTTACATTATATTTTTATATATTTATATTGTTAGTTTAAGAATATAATTTATTTTATTAACTTTGTCTTATTTACAATAGTATTTGTTAATTAATTATTAAAGACACATTATTCAAGTACATTTAGAGGCTCAATAATTTAAATATTGCTAAATAAAACCAGGATGCTTAAATGAAAATAATATTTTTATTTTGTAAAAATTTTTGTATTATATATATAAAAACATCATTACATTTAAGACTCTGTTTAGTTCTTAGAAAAATTCTCTTTTGCTAAAAGTTAGGTTATTAATTTTAAAGTTTATTAACCATATATAAATTGATAATTCTTTATAAATCATGAAGTTTGCAATATCCTAGAATTTGAATTATTGAGTAGTAGTTTAAGATATATGATTAAGTTCATTATTTAATAACTTTAATTTTAAGATTAATACAATCTTATAAAAGCATAATAATGAAATAACTAAATTAGTTTCAAAGAATAAAATAATAACAAAATCTTTAATGCCACAGTATATATATAGTGACTCTGGTATTTTTTAAAAAAATCAAAATTAATTAAAGGTTGCTACCAGAATACAGTATAAAGAAGCAGACACTAGTGTATATAAAAAAAAACTATAATATTAAATTTTTTTTTTGTATAATTATATATAATTCAATATGTTGTTGTTTGAATATATTAGAACTTATTTTTATAATTTTAATGTCTCTTTAATACTAAAAAATTTACCTGTACTTACACTATATATTAAGGATAAAGTACATGTAAATAATTTGTCATATAATTTGCACAGTAAATTTAGATTTACATAATAAATAAAAATATGATACTAATAAAATTTTTTAAAAACACATCAAAATTTTATTAAATTTTTAGGATATATAAATTAAAATAATTTATTTATTATAATAAAAAAATTATAATATATATTATTTTAAAAAAACTATACTTGTATATATCGTAAAAGTCTCAATGGTAAATCCAAATTCTCAGTGGTAACGTTCTGATTGGTTGATTATCATATGATTATCATATGATTTTTATAATAAATTTATAATATCAAATCTTTAAATAAACCTATCTCAATGAATTTTAATTCGAATTTAATAATTATACTATCATTAGAATCATAAAAATCTGCTTTACAATTTTGATTAAAAGCTTAAAAGCAGTTAAGTTAGTGAAAATATTTTTAAATACCAAAATAAAAAAATTTACGATTAAAGTCATATGATAAGTGATCTACGTGAATTCTACTTTTAAATCCTAATGACTTCATTCGACATTACTCGTATACAATACTTGAAAACACTATGTGATCAATAGAAATATCTAACGCTAGCGTGTCAAGAACGAAGATCTGTGATAAGCTTCTTTTTAGAGCTATTATTTGCGATTTGCTGGTCAATAAACATGATTTTTGTTTTGGTATTTTAACCATCGGGTGTGACAAGTTTGGTTATTGAGATTAATATATAGCCACTATTTATATAAGCACAAACTATAAAAAAAATTTTATTGTAATATTTTAAAAAATAAACTCTATTTATTTCGATTAATTATTACTAATTAGCTAGATTTGAAGTAATAAATATCCAAATCTATTTTGAAATAATTAGAAATTAAATATATAAAAAAGAAAAGAACTTTAAAGATAACTGACATAGCAATATACCAAAATATAAGTGCAATATAAAATTTTACACACTGTAAACAACAATATAAAAAATATATTAGTGTAAAAATTGTTATTCCAGCATTCAAATTAATAAATAATAATGAAATTAATGATGTTTTTTGAGAGCTATACATGTTGCTCTTGTACTTTTTCTTATTGGTTCGTTTTAATTGATTCCAAGCTTGAATATATCTATTATTGATAGTAATTTCACTAGGCACTACAACTTTAGCAATATTTTCTTCAAAAAGATAGGCAAAATCCAATGGCTTTGCTTTAACTGCTATGTTATTAGATTCCGACCTAGAATACAAAAGACTGATTAGCATAGAGTAAACAGTAAAAGCATTTTATTTAAATATACGTCACCTTTTTCCAATTAAAAAAAAAGTAAAAACATAAATTGGCATTAATAAAATGTACTGTAAACTACAATAAAACAAATGCCGTGAATTAGTCATTATTAAACTTAAGATAAAATATAAGAAATATGCAAAAATTAACGAAAAAAAACTAGATTTAAGAATAATATTGTCAATGGTAACATCTAATGTATGATTATAATTTCCACTATAAAAACCATTACAGTAATAATTATCCTTATAGCTATAACTAGAATAATTGCTATTATCATTATATGTGCGAATTAGCTCACACTTAGTAACAATGCCATAATCTACAAACAAAAAACAAATAAATAGAAGATAAAGCATGAGAATTATTGAAAAGAATAGTTGAATTATATTATGCAATCTAGGATACCTAAAAAAAAATAGTATATTTAATTAAAATCTTATGTAGATAAAGATATAATAACTATAAAACAAGCATATATACCATCGAGAATTTAAGCAAACCATAATAAATTGTACAACAATTAGTACAGTAGGAATAGTCCATGAAATTACCGCAACAAAATGTAACGAATGTGAAACAATATAGAGCAACAAAAAATATATTGAAAAGAAAATACTCTAAAAATAATAAATTAATATTAGTAAATAAATAAATCAATAATAGTTTAATAATTAAAATAAGCAATAGTTTAATAATTAATTATTTTAATATTTACAGGCATAAACAACGAAAAAAGAAAATCTAAAGTTTGATATGTAATTTGGATTTGCAAGCATATCTTACGAAAAAAAGAATGTCCACTTCTCCAGATGTAATAAAAATGCATAATGGCATAGCGTCTGGAATGAAAATATTTTGTCATACGATATTTTTGTTGAAGAATTAGCTCCCATAAATTTTCGGGTCCATCTATTTCAGCCTGTATAGATTTTTGAAAGTGCACTGTCCAAGAATGATTAGGTCTTGTAACTAATTCAAAATCAAGAGTGTATTTATTGGCAGATTTAAGCTCAATGGAACTTTGAAGTGCAGAATATTGATAAGCAGAAAAACATTCAGATATAGGCGTAATATAGCCAAAAGCTGATTCAAATTGTTTATCTAAAACATTTAACCTTTCATAATTGAAAGTTTGAGCACCCACTATTGGGTTTAATAATCTGATCTTATTTTCACCCTTTACACCTTTTGTGAAACTTATATTTCCACAAACACCGGCAATTTGAGGATTTACGGATAATGTCTTCCATAAATTATAGAGAGATCCATAACCTTTTTACAAGTATCATATGGAAAAACCGCAAATATTAATATTTATAATAATGCAACAGTTTTGCTAATTACATAATAATTAACGATATTAAGAATCTCTCACCTGGTTTAATACCAGCATCAATAAAAACACATATTTTTGGGTTAAGTATTGGACAAAATGCATCAAGAAACCATTGATAAGAATCGTTTTCACTCCATTCGGTAAGACAATAAAGCATTTGAGTTGGAACAATTCCATCATCTTGCATTTTCATTTCAACAGAATCCTTAGAATGTTTGATTGAAATAGAAGTTGTATACTCATACATATGTGCATTAACTGCTTTCTTATCTACCTTTGCTTTTGCAATATCATTTTGATAGACACCAAGAGCAGTCAAATATGCTAAAATATGTTTATTAACATTAATACGGCCGACTGAAATTATACATACAACGATTTTTTTCCACCCGTCTTTACCCTTATCAAAATATATGCATTATTAATACAGAAAGTTTAAATTAATTGAATGATAATAAAAATGCAAATTTACCCATGTTTTGCAATCTTTGATAGAACAAAGATAAGCAATATTTTCCATGATTCCATAAAGAGTGTGGGATAACGGAATTTCGTCGTCCTATTAACATAAATATAAAATACAAAATATAAATCATACATCGTTCAATAGTAATAATATTTATTAACAGAACTTATCTACTTACACCATGTATATTTATTAAGATAAATAGTTCAGTATGTCTTGGAGGATTATATTCTATTTGACGGAGCGTAAAATTTTCTTTCTTAAAGTCACTTGGCTTGCTTGTGCAAGCGGTATATCTCATATGTGTGAATTCCTTGGATGTTTTATGATGAGCATTTATTAATAGATTTGTGAGTACAGGTAAATCTATCAACAAATTTCCATTAAGTAATTCAACATGCTTTTGCTGATAAGGATTCTGTTCCGAAGATTCCTTAAAATCGATCTGAATCGTTATGGAATGACTGTAATTTTGAAGTGACAGTCTGTTAAAGAAGTTATTCTATTATGAGCAAAATCTATAATGAACTTTATACTCACGAGCTGGTAATTTAGATGTATTTATTAATTAGTAAAGGGCAAATTATACAAAACAAGGGCTTAAAACAACAAATACAATAAGATTATACTGACTCACTGGAAATTTTATTTTCACTTGCAAGACTATAATCGCATTCATTTGGATTGTAGGAGGTAGCGTCTTGACATATAAATATATATTTCGATAAGATCATTTCATAATGATAGAAATAGAGATAAAAATAAACTACGTATTGAAATATAAATACTAACTATGTTCTTCACTATGAATATTTGAATTTGAATTTTCAAATGTATCAGTAGAAGTGGAGTTTGCATTATATGAAGAATTATTAGACTCTTGTGTTTTTTTATTATCAATTGGATTTGCTATAAATTCAATAGTTTCTATTGATAATTTCTCGAGTTCAAATATAATTTCATTTAATTTTGGACGCAGATCTGGATCAGAAGACCAGCAATTCTTGTAAAGGTTGGCGTAATTTGGTGGTGTATTTTCTATAGTTTCCTCCCTTTTATTTTGTGAAATTTCAAGGAATATTGCTATATCAGGAAGACCATAAAACGGTGGGACTCCACTTGTGAGTTCCCAAAGTAATACGCCTATACTATAAATATCGGATCTTTTGTCCCGTTTAGCATTTTTATTATTTTGAAGGCAACATTGTGGTTCTAGATATGCTGGCACACCTCCCATATCAGAGCTCGAAGCCGTAGTATCAATTAATCGCTTTGATATTCCAAAGTCTGAAATTAAGGCCTTACCACCGTCTATTAGAATATTCTTTGAATGCTAAAAAAATTTTACATACAGTGTGTATACTTTATAAATTCAATTTTGAGCAAAAAATTAAAAACGGGTTAAACTTACTAAATCACGGTGAATAATGTTTTTATCGTGTAAATGTTTTAATCCACTCGTGATACCCTTTGCAATTTTTATAAGTTCGGTCCATGAAATTTTATAGATACCTTCGTCTTGTTTACTTCGTAAATAATCGCGTAAGTTACCGTCAGTGGCAAGTTGTAACACCAACATAAAGTTTCCGGTCAAATCTAAAGTTATTATGATGTTTATATTATCATTTAAAGAATTATTATGTAAGTATTTACGGTACTTATTGTCAATTGAATATTAATTGTCGCGGCTGAAGCTTGAAATTTAAATTATTTTAATATGAAATGTTTATAAATTTTTAGAGTGCATTTTTTTAGCATTTTTTTAATAGTTAGATTAGGGTTAGTTTTGATAATAAAAGAGTATAAGTAGATTTTTGTAGGGTTTATATTTTTAAATCAAGGTCTTTGATTCAAGCTTTAGCCGCGACATATTGTATACCTCTTGAAACTCCGTAGAACTTTATAATGTTAGGATGGTGATCGATCGTATAAAGAAGTTTAAGCTACATATATTTAACGTTAGTTCGGGTTCATAATATAAAAAATTTAGTGTCTCGCATTGGTCAGTTCGGACCGAGTTTTTTAAAGAACGGAATCGAACAGACAATCGAGTCGAATCTAAGAACTGGTAATTGATCCAATGCAACCAATCAAAGTACACTCTTTCATTTCAGTTTGAGTCTAACTTAATGCCCAGAAGCGGTTGATTTTAAAGATCATGGACCGAATTCGACCCAAACAAATCTGCGAAACACTGCAGATAATGAATATTACCTCACGTCGGAATTGTTTAAATTCTTTATGATTCAAACTTAAGTTGTTCTTTAAACTTTTTAGAGCGTATTTTTCACCTTCTAAAATGGTCGAATACACAACTGCAAATCCTCCGCTTCCAATGACTTTAAGATTTTCATGCTGCGAACAATCAAAAATTTTTATATCATATTTTTTAAAATACGTCATCAATTGATCCGAATATTCAACTACTAATGTCATATAAACGTTCACGATATTAAGACATTGCGTAAATTACGGCAAAATTTAATCATATAATAACTTACATGCTTTTCCTGACATAGCTTTAGGTTAAGGATTTTTTTGATTCCGTACTGTATTTATAATAAGTAATTTACCATATATAAGGAAATTTTTTATAGTTTGAAGAAAAAATAATCGTGCAGCTAGTGTGCGTTGTACAACATAACTGGCACTATTAATTGGTTGATAGACTGGGTCATTACGCAATATGCTCTACGCATTAGCGTAACGTTTCGCATTATTGGCAGCCACGGATACGAATTGGCAAAAGTTGACATACCAAAAAAATCTTAAAGTATATCTTTTTTATAAATTATCAAAGTAATTCGGTAATCTGTGAAGTAATTCGGAAGTTGGATGAGACGTTTGAGTTTAACTTATAAATACAATAAATCAATTAAACTCGGCAATTTAAGCTGTCTTTTATGTATTTTGTGAAAACTTATTCTTCGCAATCCCACCTCAGATAGAAGTCCGATTATAAGCTAAGCTAAGAATATAAAGTTGAGAGTTATAAGGTTTATAGATTTTGGGAGAAGAGTTAAAGCGAAGTAGCGGTTCTGTAACTGCATACCGATAGTGTTCAAGGAAAGGTTCAAAATTTTTTTTTCTTTCTTACTGTAATTTGGATATGTTGTTTTTTTCTTTAATAAAATTTGGCTTGTCTGTTTGCGACAAGATTATAGTTTAGATTTAAATATCGAAAAATTATTATATCACGGGATGATCTACAAAAATTGTCAATCACAATGAAAGTCTGCTATGTAAAAATCATTTTTCTGATTTAAAACATGTGATGATATTAAATTGAAACCTTCAGCATAAGATTATAATCATCGCATCCCTTTTACTATATTCTTTCATTTGATCCTAAAAAAGAGATTGTTATATGAAACATGATGAAACGCTACTATATACACAAACTGTTCAGGTAAGCAATTGTGCATGCATGTTAAACGTCAGAATAAAATTTAAATTCGTCTTTCGACGGTATAAGCTAAATGATAAAATAGCCTAAATGAATTTACTAAATTAAGCTTAATGAATTTACTAAAATACACCATAGGCGTAGAATATCATAGTTGCCTCATTTCCGAATTAAAACTTTGAGTAACCGATTGTTTTTGTAGTTCCATGGAACTCTCGATGGCCTTTCTTTGTATGCTTATACATTATAGGTTATTTAACGGCAGCGTTATGAGTCTGGTTTTTTATAGTCATAGGCTTCGATTACCTTTCTAGTGGATTTATGGCTTGTTAGTTCGAGTAGTCTTTGTTTCTTTAATGATGTACCGTAAAAGTGCGCATACGATATCTTCCAAAATATTAGACACCATGAATTAGACCCGGGCGCGAACAGTGCAACTTTTATTAATCAAATGTGGTTTTTTTTAACTCCTAATGCACTTTAAATATTCTTTCTTTTCATAATATAATCTCTCAGTATGTGCTAAATAAGATTTTAAAATTAATGGACTCAGGTATTGTATATCGCTTTTACTGTAATATTTTAGTTATAAGAGCGTGAATGGACTCCCATAATGAACCAAAAAAAAGTTTTTAATTTGAAAAATTAGGTGAATAAGAATACAATTTTTATAAAATTACCAAATTATAATTTTTTACCTATTGCCTCTTTTGTTATGGGATTTTCCACTTGTGTTTTTAGTGATGTCATCTTATCAAGAAATGATAATGTAAATTATACTTCGTACAAATAAATAAACAATTGGCTAGAGCGAGGTGAAAGCATTTCAAGCCTAACTCTACTGAATCTTATGAATATCCAGCTTTGACCCAAATTTTAGATACAATATAGCTAAAATTAAACACCTGAATCTTAGTTTAAAAATAATATCTGACTTTTAATGCAATATATAACTGACTTTAATAGCTGACCTTAAATATAACTGACTTTTTTTGTCATACACTATTAAATTTTAGGAATGTCCGGTTTCTACTTCACCCCATCCCAAATTTAGAAGAATCGAACCAAAATTAGGTTCAACGTTTGGATATCTGAATCTTTATTTAAAATATAATAGCTGAATACATAATTAGGTTTTAATAAAAAAATCATTGTAAAGATAGGCAAGGTAATTCCACATTATGTAAAAAATTTTACCAATAATATATAATTACAACTAAAAAACATACTAAATTGTCATGTAGTGTGATTTGGCTTTTTACATAATAAATAATTATTTCGCCTATTTCTAAATGATTATATCCTTGTTAAGTAAGGTGCTTTTAATCGACTGAGTAAATTTATATTAAAAACACCAGGAAATTTTTTATTAAGATTTGTTAGATAATGTTGTACTCATATGATATAACAATTAACTGAGTAAAGCATTAATATCTTTAAGTAATACTAAAAATTTAAAGCTTATAATTAAGTCTATTATAGACAATTTTTTTATTTGACATTAGAGTGTAACTAATAATTGAGGGACAAATATTATACAGTTATTCGTCAAAAAGTTTGATGAATAACATTCTTATTCATTGAAGATTTTGCAAGTAATATGGCAAATGATTGGTTAACAGATACTGTAAAGCAGCACATATTAATCAATCATTTACTCTATTACTTTAAAATCTTCAATAAATAAGGCAGTTATTAGTAGCTTATATGTTCAGTAAAAATATTATCCTTCTGGTCATGATGATCTACATAAACTTTTTTACTATAAATACGAATTTTATACTTTTTAAAAATGCTTTCTAATTAGTTTATTCAATTGACCTACACATGTTTAAAGGTTCGAAATTTTTCTTGCTTTACAGCATATATGGGAACGCTCATAGTAAAAGTAGGGGATTAAATCCTTGCTTATGGTTAGAGTAAGGGTTGGTTTGGAATTGGGCGAGGTATATCTTACACCAAAATTGCACAAGAATTTTTTTTTTGTTAAAAGCCAAAAGGTGGTTTAATAATCAAAAATATTGAGATATTGGTTAGTTTTTATATTGCCTGTGTACATGCACCCCGTGTACAAATAAAAATTTTTCTTGTATATAAATTAAAATTTCACAAGAAATATGTTTTGTTAGAATCTAAAAGTTATTTTATAATTAAGATTTTGAGATGTCGACATATTCGTGCACATACACAGAGTATAAATAGAAATCACTCTAAATAATGATATTGTAACTTTTTATAAACTGATTAGCAATACGCTTAGATTAATATTTTAGTGCAAATTTTTTAAATAAATTTTAAAATTAAAGAAAGTTACAAAATATAACTATTGAAACAATTGAAATCGTGGCGTATGTAATTCAAGAATATTTGTTAATTTATTATAATCTTATCATTGTAGTTAACAAATATAGGATGTCAGACTTAAAGAAAGGGTATTTTAAGATTCAGCTATTCCTTAATAAAATGAGTTTTAGTTAAATTGCAGGTAAATTATAATCATTGACCAAGTTAATTCTCATATATTAAACATAGTAGAAGATGAACTTTCTTATCACTCAAATTTATTTAGAATTTAGTTGCAATTTTAGAATCCATAAAATATGATTCTATATACAACAACATTCATAATACTGAATAAATTTACTGCCAAAAATTATTATAGAATTATTTTTGTAGTTATTGTCAAATTTATAAAAAACTTAAAAAAATTTTAGTATTTATTCCTTGGAGAAATATTACACTTATTTAAACAAAATGTGTAATATTTAATAATAATATGATATATACTGCAAAATCTTTGCTTAGATTAATATAAGTTTAAATTTGAAAATAAAATAAAATTAGTGAAATACATTTAGTCATAGTTAATTACATTAAGAAAATCTTGAAAAAATGGCGAATTTTCAATTGAGTCACTAACAATAGCGTCAATTGCAACTTTAAAATTTGAATTTGTAAGGATATTAGAAACTACGAACTGACCATCATAACTCGGGTTTCCATAACAAGTAACAGCCAGTGAGCGATTTGATACAATTTTTGCAACACCAATATTTTTAACAACAGCTATTACTTTAGGATCCCAAAGATAATAACCAGTATAGAATGCAGAGGCCCCGCCATGCCAAGTTGCACGAATATTGAACAAGAGATTATATGTAAATTTACTATAAAAACTTTTGAGTTTTGAGAGTTTGTTGAAAAAAGCAGGATTAAGAGGAGTTTGATTTGTAAAATCTAATGGCATCAGAGTAATATCCAAGTTAGAAGCGAGTAATTCTTGAGCTGCAGTGCAATCAAGATAAACATTAGACTCAGCACGAGTATTATCTGGTACACTAATTAAATTTCCGGGAACATTTAAAGAACCGGCCATCCAGAAAACTTTATCAATTTTTGCAGAATAAGATGGCAAAGCACGTAGAAAAATAGCAATATTAGTAGCTGGACCGGTTAATATAATAGTGGGTTTTTTAGCAGTTTGTTGAATCGTAGAATCAATGAGATCGGCGAAGTCCCTAGTTATATTAAAACCTTTAATAGCATCATACCATAGTCGTTTTGATAACCTAAGCTGTCGATTAATACCGTATAACAAATCAGTATCACGCTTTCCACCAGCACCTTCAGGGACCGATTTTTGATGAGTGCAGCCTGGTGTAATAGGATTTTTGTCTAATTCGTACAAGGAATAATCAGCACCAAGTATGACAGGAAGGTTTTTTCCGGGATAGATGTCATCCACAATATCAACAATATTCTGGGCCGAAGCTATCAATAGATATTATTATCTTTGTTTAAAAATGGGAATTTTAACAGCATTAGTGAAATACCTGTATGTGACCATCCATCACCTTGGTAAGTAATGCCGCGTACATCAAGTTCCTTTGATTTAAGAGCATAAAGAACCGCAAGAAAATCGTCAGTATCACCATCTATATCAATAATCACAGGCAATGGGTTTTGATGTTTATCATTAGAAATTGAGGAGCCAACAAACATAAAGAATATGAAAATAAAATGAATGTTAAACACCATTTCAAAGATACTTTTAGGATACTATAATTATTAATCAAATAACTTTTGAAGGTGAAGAACGCAATAAACGTGTAATTGATTTCTTAACATTAAATAAAATTTTGAATTATCGACAGAATATGCATCCGACATATTCATAGACTGATTAGGCTAGATTTTCTTTATAAAGGTGTCAATAGCACGAAATTTACTAAGGGGCAGGGATGCTAAAAGTAATGTCGATAAATTAATAGTTATGCAGCGCCAGTCAACAACCAATATCTAATTAACGGTGTTACCTATTGTTATGGGTAAATCCGACCTAGGACCATGAAAAACAATCGTATAACGACCCACGCAAATGCACAATGAACACCCGTCGTACAACGATGCCTGTGACCCAGGAAAACTCAGGTTACCCATTTAGTGACAGCGCCGATATCATTGAGAAAAGCCACCCTCCCGATTTGGAGACATCTGTTAATGTAATATTACCTTGACAGGTAAAGTCTGTGGCCGTGTAAATGTGTCGTCATATGCTGGGTTGTGTGTTGTCGTGGGAAGAATGAAAATTCAATGAAAAATACTAAAGGGACGACGGATGGGTTGTAGAAAAAAGGGGAAAGTGTTAGTAAAAAGAGTAAAAACGGCTTATGTCACTGAGAAAAAGGCGTCAAAGCCGTGTTTGAATTCCCCTTCTTTCTCTTATAGTTTTTTGTTATAAATATGGGTCGGATTTCCCTCTTGTAATAGACCTTTGACCTTTTCTACCTTTTTCCCTTGTAACATTTGAACCTTCTCGATAAACGCGCCCTAATAATAAATAAAGTTGTTAATTTGTGTTCAAAAATAAACCAAATAAGCTAAATCACAACATTCCTTTAACCCGTCTACTTGCATTTCGAATCCGCCTTGACCAGTGCCAAATCGTAACCGCCTCACCTGCTTTCGAGCAACGTTGCGCAACGTCAGTAATTCCGAAGCGACAATTCGTCGCATTCCTTCCTTTTCCTAGTGGTGCCGTCCCAACCCTAATTGCCTGTAGCATTATAATTACCTACTATTGCTGATTCGTGTGATGCTATTCATAACATAGTTTTGGACGTCTCAAATAATTTGGATAATGTCGTTAATACAGTCAGACTTTCATAAATGCAACCCCTAAATGCATGCCCTATGAAAAGCCTCCTAAATACACATCTTTATTGTATGAATAACCCAATTACACACGAGTTCATATTTAAATCCAGATTTGCATTCTTATAGATCAAATTAATATACGTTGACACCAGACAACCGGTGTCGGCGTTTCGGTCCCTTCTCAATCGGATACGTCGTGTCACCTACGAATCGGCTTAGTCGATATGAGGCGGTTAGATTTGGCGAGTGGTATGTTATGATCGTAGGTATTATTATAATGACAGTGGTATATTATTATTAGGGACGAATTCTATTTGAATCACGAATACTCTATTCATCTCTTCATAGGGTTCAAGGCCTTTATTATATACTTTCGTTTACATAGGGCATGTTATACATTCGATTCATGATACATCGCTTATACTACTTATAACGTCTATACTAATTATATTGACGATAATGTTTATATCAATGATATCGATCATATTGTTTATACTGATTATAACGTCTATATCACTGATACTAATTATATTCTCTATACCCTATATCCCTCTGATACCCCTTATTGTGCTAATACCCATTATTAGTCCGATGCATAAGATACATAGCATACAGCGAATACAGTGTATACTATGTATACCTATTTCAGGTATATGATCTACATACCCATCCTGTATCACTTCGATTACCTCCTTCCGGAATCACAGTCTTACGGCTCACATTCCTCCCCAACTCAAGGTCGAGTTCCACGAGACAAAGTCAAATAACGGGAAACAAGTTTCCACCAGGATCGAATGTCATCGAGGCTGATTGAAGCAGAGATAAGTACTAGGGCATTCCTTTGTCATTTATGATTCTTCGTTCCACCTCTAATGCCATTATTCTTTCTTTTGTTTTAGGTCCATTTTTCAATATGGTAATCATTTCTTCAAGGGCCAATTTCGAAATCTTTACGATGGCTTTCCTTTTTGTATTATCATGTTGTTGATCACATGGTTTCAGGTGAGTTTCATCAAACTTTTTCAATTTTCTTGTTTCTTTTATTAACACTTTAAGTTTTTTTACCCTTCTATTCCAATCATCACAGGCATCTTCAAGACTTCTGAAATTCAATGATTTTAGTTTTTCAATCTTCTTCCATTTTCTGGTTTGATAACAAGAGTCAAGACTATGTCCAGATGGTGGTAATCCTTCAGGTTCGACTAGGTATGGGTTCTTTATCTCTCGAGGGTCATCTTAGATCATCCTTCTGAATTCATTAACCCTTTTGTTCCAATCTTTGCAGGCTTTATTCAGGATTCAGTAACGAATTCGGGCAGCAGAAGCTTTAGTTTCAACAGCTTTCTTAGCTATCATTCTATAACAGCGATCAACTTCGAATATTCCATCACTATTTTTCGTGCCAGCTGCTTTTCAATACTGAGTGAGTGCTTGATGTTCATCCTTCTTAATATCAATTCCATTGTAATAACAATGCTCAACTTTATATACTCCATTAGTATACCTCATATTCGCAGATTTTTCATAATATTCAAATGCCTTATGTCTGTTCTTTTGAACTCCAAGTCCATTTTGGTAACAATTAACATTATATGCTCTATTAGCATTACCCATATTAGCAGGGTTTTGATAATAGATAAAGGTTTTTTGTTTATCTGTTTTGACACCAATTCCATTTCGATGGCAATATTCAACGTTATACATACCAACAGGAGAGCCCTACTCACAGGGTTCTAGATTGCTAATAAAGGGTTCATATTCGTCCTTTTCAGCTTCACTTCTAGAGGGCTCTTTCTTGAGTTCAGATGGGTTATCAGTTTCCTTTTCAACTTCAATTCCATGTTCGTAAGGATAACTGATGTTAAAGGTACTTCCCATATTGGTGGCTTTTTGAAAGTACTCGATCACTTTTCGATTATCTTTATCAATTCTGATTCGTTTGTCCTTTTTGACTCCAATACATTCATCCTTTCTAATTTTATTACATTCATCTTTTTTGTCTCCATTTTGTTCACCTTTTTTAACTCCAATTTGTTTGTTTTTATCTTCTTCAATCTCATTTCTATCGTCATCTTCATCCCATATCATATTATCATCATTGTCATCATTGCTGTCCTCTTCATTATCACCATTATCATTGTTCAATGCTTGATGGCTATCTTTTCCAACATCAATTCCTTTTTTATAATATGATCCAACATTAGATGTTTCATTATTATTTCTCATTTCTGCAGATTTTTGATAGTGAATAAGTGGTTTAGGTGTCCAGGTCTTTAGAGTCTTTAGGTAACTATCGATTAAGTCTTCTAACTCATCTTTGTCTTTTACTTGTTCATTAGGTTCTTGTTCCACCTTGTCAACTTCAATTCCAAGATGATATCCAAGGTTATTTTGTCCATTTGATGCAAACTTGGGTTCAGGTAACTCAAACTTCAGGCCTTCAAGGTAATCATTGGTCAACTTTTTTAACACATTTTTAGCATCCAATTTAACATCTTGCTCTTGTTTTAGATCTTTTTTTTCATTATCATTACTGGAGAGCTTTAGGAAAGAATCTGATTTAAGAACTTTAGTTGGTTTCTTTTGGCAGGACTTAGCTCTATGAATTTTAGGAGTTTGTTTTAGGCTCTTGAAGATATGGAAGTTTTCTTGATGGCATATATGGTGAGGATAATTATGTGGAGCAGGTGTTGTAGATACTTTAATATATGAGAGTAGGTATACAATTTCCTGTGTTTTATCTTTATTATCTAAAGATATGTTTTCTAACATTTTTAATATAATCTCCAGAGCCTGAGGAATTTGTCTTTCATTAAGGCTTTGATTTCCAAAGGCTTCATTAATAGTTTGTTGAACCTTCTGGGCTTGTCTGTCAGTAAGTGCTTCGAATAAGGCTGCACATCTCTGTTCTAATGCTATTACGTCTGGGCATTTACTGACAATATGCTTTCTTCTCTTACAATAGGAGCACTAGGCTTCTTCTTGAAGGCTTTTTTGGGTCTGTTCATGGTATGGGACTTGCTGAAGGCAGGTCTTTTTTGCTTGGGCTTCTAGTTTCCAGGATGTTGGATAAGTTCTATACATTTTTTTCCTTTCTTTCTTTGTTTGGTCTTTTTCTTCTAACTCCTCTTCTTTCTTTCTGTAGATTGGTCTGAAATTCCAATGTATTGGTTGAGACCTTGCACGTGCTTCAATCTAGGTAGTAATGGTGGTAAGTCTCTTGTTCATCCATTCTAGCTATTGACTTAATTCTTCTATTCTCTCTTTAATCTAATTTATTCTTTCATTTATTAGGGTTCCCTTAATTCTACAGTCTAGCTGTTCTTGGATGTCGAATCTCACAGTTACTACCAAAATGACACCAGACAACTGGTGTCGGTATTTCGGTCCCTTCTCAATCAGATACGTCATGTTACCTATGAATCAGCTTAGTTGATAAGAGGTGGTTAGATTTGGTAAGTGGTATGTTATAATCGTAGGTATTATTATAATGACAGTGGTATATTATTATTAGGGACGAATTCTATTTGAATCACAAATACTCTATTCATCTTTTCATAGGGCTCAAGGCCTTTATTATATACTTTTGTTTACATAGAGCATATTATACATTCGATTCATGATACATCACTTATACTACTTATAACATCTATACTAATTATATTGATGATAATGTTTATATCAATGATATCGATCATATTGTTTATACTAATTATAATATCTATATCACTGATACTAATTATATTCTCTATACCCTATATCCTTCTGATACCTCTTATTGTGCTAATACCTATTATTAGTCCGATGCATAAGATACATAGCATACAGCGAATACAGTGTATACTACATATACCTATTTCAGGTATATAATCTACATACCCATCTTGTATCACTTTGATTACCTCCTTCTGGAATCACAGTCTTATGGCTCACAACATTGTAGGACCCGAACGGCCAGGCCATTCGGGGTGGGATATTATCTAATTAGGGAAGAAGTTGATCACATCTGTCACATCTGTCTAAGTTGTTGCATATGACTGATCAATCATATATGACATATGTGTCGAATATGGCGGATAGCAGTAAGGGAAATATCAGTATGATTCGACTGATTAGTAGCATCAGTGATATCAATCATATCCATTGCATAATGTAAATAGAAGTTTTAATTATAAATAAAAGCTGAAAAGGCCCTCTAGGGAGAATAACTTCCTCTTAGCAATCAATATATAACACATTTAACACCTAGCTACATATAAAACTGCTTATTGATAATAAACAGAAACCTTGATTAAAAATCAATTGTTGCTACATAAACCACCCCCAACTCATAACAACTAATGTACACCAGTATCCTTGTCCAACAACAACCTGAGTTATTTAGTATTAGTAAACCCAATCATTATCAAACAAATCATTTGACAAATTTAACATGCTTTTTTTGACCCAATTTACTCTACTTAAAAGTTATACAAGAGGTCTGACTGATTAGTGACTAACTTGCCATTTTACAATTACAACATACCTATTTTTATATATAAATTTTATATAAATTTTTTTATTTTTAATTTTCTTCAAAGTTTAGGTCAAAACTTCAGATTTTTATTTTTAAGTATCTAAAGATTCTTTGTACATAATTTAACTAATAGTTAATAATAAAGTTAAAAATAATATTGATCCTAAAGTTGAACTTTTATTTACAATATTTTTAGTTAAAAGACTAACACATTATCAATAATTATAATAATATATGTTTTTTAAATTAAAAGACTGATTCATTGTCAAAAAAATTATAACAAAATACTTATAATATTTTATAATGGGTCAGTTTTTTAACTTAAGAAATATAGTAAATAAATGTTTAAGTTTAAGATCAAGATTATTTTCAACTTTATTAACTGTTACTCAAACTTTTTATAAAAGATATTTAAGAACTCAAGAATAAGTAACTGAAATTTTAAATTTGATTTTTATTTTAATTTAAATGAAAGTTATAAATAAAAAAATTTTTTTATATAAAATTTCTAAAAATACCTGTAGTATATGATATCTGGTATAAGAAAAATATATAACATATTAGTTTAGAATAAGTTAAGATAAATTAGGATTAATGGTGTACTTTAACTAAAACTAGATCTGAACATTTTTACTTAAAGCACCTATACCAGTTTTCTTAATAAAATTTTAAGATATTAATGATTTTTTGTTTTTTTCCTTATATCTAAATATATACTCATCAGGTACAAATAGAAATTTTTTTTTTATAAATTTATTTATACAATTTAATAAGTACTTTAATTAATTTGATCAATACATCTGGATTTTAAACAACATGTCTACTAACTGATAATTTATGGTTTTATTACAATGCACTTAAGAAGGTCTGATGCATACTTTATTGTTTTAATATATAAGATAGACTTGATGTCTAAATTCCAAACTATTATAGTTTACTATATTTAATTCCAAATTTTAAATAAAAAACTTGAGACAAGCTAATCTTTTATAACTTTATTAATAATCCTTATCTAAACAAATTAAATATATTTTTATATAGAATATATTTGCAAATTATTAAATTTATTTTTTTAATATTTAAATTTGGGATTAATATCTCAAGTTTGATAGCAAGTATAAATAAAAAAAGTAACTTTTAGAAAATTTTACTGTAATTTAATGTTTTGATCAAAATCAAATTTGTATTACATAAAAACATATATTTACTTAATGTTAAATTTTTAGTATTTTCTAAATCATTTTAATAAAGTTTTACACATATGTGAACTCTTGGTCTAATAGTTACCTGAATAGTATTGTATATAATATTAGTATATAAACAGAATAGTAAGCTTTAAGCAAACATTTGCTCAATGAATTTTTAACTATTTTAAATAAAATATTAGATATTATCTAGGCTTATGGAAGAAGTTCATAATAATAATTATTAATTTGTAAAGATAAGTTGAAATTTAATTGCAAATTTCTTGTATAAGTATTATTTTCTTTTACTAGTTTATTTCATCAGTATCTTTGAATATCTTTAGATATTTTTGAGTAATCAATTATAAGATAAGTTTTTAAAATCTGTAATTTATCTCTTGGTTAATGTTTATTAAAATAAAAACATATAGCTTTATAATATTCTGGGTTTACTTATATGTTTTTAATTATATGAGAATAAGTTAGCAAAATGAAACAATTTATTAGATAAATTTGATCTATTCCTACTACTTCTTTTCATATGACTCTATACTTTATAAAAACTAGTATTAAGTTTTCTAACTTTTTTTTGTTGTAAAATAGATTCTGTTAATGCAAAAAAATTATTATTATAAACTTTATTATTATCTAAAACATGTTATTAAGTAAGATTTGTTCTGATATTTTTTATTTAATTGATTTGTTTGATTAAAACTTTTAATTTTAAAACATAATTGATCTTCAATTTTATTAAATTCTAAAAGTAAAGATGTTTAATATAAACTTATATTATTGAGTTAACTTTTCTTATAAAGATATATTAATAAACTTTTATAATAATATATAATTTAATAGCACTTTAATCTCTATTTACATTCTCAATAATCTTATTAAAGATACTACTTGTAATTATAAGAACATTTGGCTATTTTTATAGAATATAAATAAAGCATATGACTCTGTCAATTTTACTCTTTTTAAACATTTACTTTCTTATCTGACATTTCCTTTATCAATTATTAATATTCTTTCTGATCTCTTAATTGATTATTACAACCAAGTTATTACTAATTTTGGTCTAATTTCTTATATCCTATTCACAATGATATTGACCAATATAAAACTATTACTTCTTTATTATAATGCATATACTATGATTTACTTATCTTATATATATATGCACTAGTACCTGGCTATACCTTACAATCCTCTTGAATTACTAATCTTAAACTCTAAACATTTAATTCATTACAAAACAATGCTCTGTTTTTGCATATATGGATGATACTCTTTGGGTTGCTTTATTACAAACTGAGTTTTCTAATATATTATCTATAACTAAATCATTTCATACTATATCTAACATTCAAGTTAATTTTACAAAATCTATTTTAGTTACTAATAACCTTCTATTTAACTACATCATTATTTCCTATAATAATTATCTTCTTTTACTATATTCTCCTAAACAACCTTTTAAATTAGAGGTTGGAATCAGTTTTAAAATTTCAAGTTTATCACATGAAAATTCGAGTTTATTATATCAAATTTCGAGTTTATCATATCAATTATTAATGATTTATATGACAAACTTGAATTTTGGTATAATAAACTTGAATTTTCATATGATAAACTTGAATTTTCAAAACCGGTTCAAACCTCTACTTTAAATTTTTAGTTTGTTAGTTTATCTTAAATAATAGGCAATTTAAACAAACAAAACTGCTTATTGTTAAATCCTTTTAACTTATCTAAATTACTAAAACTAAACATATAACTGGCTTACATGTTCATTATATTATTAACACAGTTATCATTTCTAGTCTCAAATATCTTTTTCAAAATATTGTAATTAGTTAGCCTATCTGCAAAAAATCTTTACTCAATATATCAGTTTTGTTAAACTTAAAGCTAAACTTTGTTGTACAATACTCTCTAGTATCTTTTTATATTCCCAAATTTACAATATCAAGTACATCTAAGACATCTAACTATAACACCATATTTCTAATCTTCTCAAACAACTTAATAATCCTAACCTATTAGGCACATTAACTTGTATCTGAATTTAACAGTTACAAAACAAACTCTAGTCTCTTATTAATATCTTCTTATATTCTAATCTTATTATTGATAGTTCTAATTATCTAACTACAAACTTTAAAATTATTTAGCTTATCAAGCATATTAGCTAAACATTTTTTATTAATCCAACTTATAACATTTCATTTACTTTAAATAATGAAGTTATCTCTCTTGAATCCCTTCTTTCCTCTCATATTAAATATTATATTTTCAAAAAATAACTTAGATATCACAAATTACTCTTTTTTGACCCACTTACTATATATAATAATTCATGCTTATTATACTGGAAACACATTCTCTTATATTAAATAAGCTTCCTAAAAATATTGTATCTCAATAATTTATCACTTTTGAGAACATTAAACAAGCTATTTTTAGCAATATACTCTATATAATCATTTTAATTTATTTTAAACAAATTATTTTTTTTATACTACTGGTTACTTCATCTCTAATACTAAATCTTGGCTATTTATTGTTTTTAATGATCAAATAATTATTAACAAAATCAAAAGACATAATACTCCTACAAACCTTATCCTTATTATTCACTGGTACTGCTCATATTAGTTACAGTTTTCAAACCTATATCCTATTTCCTTCTCTACTACTATATTATATTGTTATAGAACGATTTATTATTATTATTATTATTATTAGTTATTATTATTTTATTATCTTATTATTATTAGTATTAGTTATTTCATTATTGTATTATTAT